TATCGTTTCTGGATGGGCTGGTGGGGATTCGCGAAGCGTCAACAATTCTATTGCTAGACCCCGGAAAGTCATTCAAGAAAACACCCCATGAGCCCTCGAGGTGGCCCCTGATCCCCAACCCAGGCACGAGGGATCGACGCCCGCTTGGATCGAACTGGCCAAAGTGTTGCAACGTGGGTACAATTTGGCTCATGTAGCTTGCACCAATAACCGAAACATCTCATCCCAGGAACCTTCCGAGGGACAGCATAAGAAACCGCGACCGGTATCCAAAACACTTCTGCCCCACAACCCGAGCCCACTAGATCCGCATTCCCCCGGCTGATCTATCAAAACGGTGCATGTCGTGCAAGATGTGTGTAGGCACCCACTGGCCTCCAGCCTAGCCAGCCGGTCAACTTGTGTTGCCGGCCAAGACGGCCCCAATATGGCCTCCACGACGCCAAAGATGGCCCGCAAGACGCCTAAGATGGCATTCAAGATGGTCCCAAGACGCCAAGACGGCCCATATGGCCCCAAGACAACCCATGTTTCCCTCCCCGCGATCCAAGAGGCCCCCAGGACGCCCCAAGGAGGCTTCAAGAGGACCTTCAGGAAGCCCAAATCTCCGAATTCCAACAGTTGTTCTTCAATAAGTTTAGCGGTCTCGCCATCTCGGGCTTCCGACGCTCAAAGACGGCCACAAAGGCCCCCGAAGTCGCCCCAAGACAGCCCAAGAGGCCCACAAGAGGCCCGCAAGACTGCCCAAGAGGGCCCCAAGTCGGCCCAAGAGGCCCCCAAGACGGCCCCAAGGTGGCAACGTAGACTTCCAAGACGGCACTGAAGCGCCCAGAGAGGGACCCACGACTACCCACAGAGGGCCCCAAGACGGCCTCCGAAAGCCAACAGGTACTTTGAAGGTCCCCGAGTCCCAAAGAGGCCACGAAGAGAAACTAGGAGGTTCCAGGAGGCCCGCGAGAGGCCCCTCAGAGGCCCCCAAGAAGCTACCAGGAAACCCCCAAGAAGCCGCAAGACAGCCTCAGGAGGCCTCCTTCTCCTCCTCCTGCTCCTCCTGCTCCTCCTCCAGCTCCTCCTCCTCCTCCTCCTCATCATCCTCCTCCTCCTCCTGCTCATCCTCCTCCTCCCTCTCATCCTAGTATCTTTCTCTTCCAGGTGTTCCACCAAGGGATTCCACAACGGCTTGGGGGACACGCGGTCCGACAGCTCGGCCAGATACCATTTGGCCGCATGGCTGTTTCGCAAAGGCAGGGGGCGGCGGTGATTCGCCGTAGGCGTCGTCGACACTGCAACCTACCCACCTACCGACCCACCGAACTACTTCCCGGCCTGCCTACCGACCTACCTACCTGCCTATGCACCTACGTAGCGATACATGTACTACTGGTAGCGCTACGAGCCCTGACACAAATACGACTATAACTATGCATAGACTACTAGTTCATTATCGTTATGCCCCTCCTCTTCAACATCATCACTATCATCAGCATCACCACCACAATCATCAGAATCATATTTAACATCATCCGTCTCCATCACCGTCATTATCATCATCAGCAGCATCATCATCGTCATCATCAGCCTCATGACCATCGTTGTCATCATCACCATCACCACCATCATCATAATCACCATCACCAGGAGTATAATCATCACCACCACCATCATCGTCATCATCTACACGATCATACACACCAGTGTCATCGCAACCACCACCATCATCATCATCATCATCATCATCAGCAGCAGCATCATCACCATCACCATCACCATCAGCAGCATCAGCATCATCATCAGCAGCAGCAGCAGCAGTCAGCATAATTAGCGTCAGCATCAGCATCACCATCATCACCATCATCAGTATCATCATTCTTATCAGCATCGTCATCATCATCGTCATCAGCAGCATCATCGTTATCTTCTTCGTCATCAGCATCGTCTTCATCAGCAACAGCAGCATCACCATCACAATCACCATAAACATCACCAACACCAAAAACCACCACCATCACCATCACAATTATCATCATCACCGCCACCACCATCACCGCCGTCACCAGCACCAGCATCACCACCACCATCATCACCATCACCATCATCACCCACACTCTTACTACCACCACCTTTGCCACCCCCTTCCCCGCCACCCTGATTCCCCCGTCCCGCCCCACCCGCGCGCCGCGCTTCCAAAGGGTCATCGCCCCAGAGGGGCGCGAGGCGGACGGACAGGGGGGGGGAAAGAGGAAGAGCACGACGACGACGACGACGACGACGACGACGACGACGACGACGACGACGACGACGACGACGACGGCGGCGGCGGCGGCGGCGGCGGCGGCGGCGGCGGCGGCGGCGACGACGACGACGAAGGCGACGACGATGGCGGCGACGACGACGGCGGCGGCGGCGGCCACCCGCGGGCGGAGCGGGGGCGCCGCACCTGCTCGAAGGCGGGCCCCTCCGGCGGCTCGCCGGCGCTCGGCCACGCCGGCCTGGTGAGCTCCTCGCGTTAAGTCGGGCCTGTCCCTCTACAGGAGGAATCTTCTAACATAGTCAAAGCATAGTTTTTGGTACGATGTTCTTAATGATCTTTGATAATTTAGTAATATGCTCGGACTGTCTATAACTTTTCGTCTAAAATTCGCCTGTAGGGGGACATGCCCGACCAAATCCTCGCGCGCGCGTGCGAACGCCGCGGGGCGCCTGGCGCGCGGGGAGCTAGCGGGGTGCGCGAGCGAGGGCGAGGCCAGAGCGAGGAGGGGTCAGGCCGAGCGAGAGGCGGGGGGGCGGAAGAAGGTCGCGGGGGGGGGAGGAGGGGGGGAGAGGCATTAGAGAGGGAGAGGAGCAGAGGGAGGGCACAGGGGAGGGGGGAGGAAAGGTGGAGGGAGAGGAGGGAGGCAAGGGGGACAGGGGGGAGACGGGGGGACACAGGGAAGAGGGGGATGAGGGGCAGCAGCAAGAGCAGGGGCGCTAAGGAGGAAGATAGGGATGTGGAAAGCAAGCAGCAAAAGCGATGAGGGTGAGGAGGAAAAGGGGCAGAAGGACGGGGCGGAGGGGCAGAAGGAGGAGTGGGGCAAGAGGAAGGAGGTCGGGGGCCAGTAAGGAGAGGAAGCGAAGACGAGGAGAAGAAATGGCCGATTCCTGGACGATTCCGATACGGCTCGAGGCAAGAGCGAAGACGCAACAAGGTGGATAGTTGATTAGTTAGTGAAAGAAGCTCATAGTTAGTGTAAGCAGCGAGCGAGGCCTAGCTCGCCGGCCAGCTTCCCTGCTCTTCCTGCACTTTACTGTGCAGAAGCTGAACTCTCGAAAGCTCGCCGCCTGGTCTGCGGGCGGCCCGCGACAGCGCCCCGCTGGACCCTTAGCAGCCTTCGAACTTGGCGGCAGTTTCGCAGATCGCAGCCCCACAAGGATGGCGAGATCTGACAGAGTCTGGGTGGTGCCTCGCTCCGCTGAACCCCCCAGCAGCCCTCGAAAGTGGCGACAGCGTCGCAGATCGCAGCCCCCCAGGGATGGCGAGGTCAAATCTGAATCTGGGTGGTGCCTCACTCCGCTGAACCCCCCCAGCAACACTTGTAATAGGCGACAGTTTCGCGGATCCCAGCCTCGCAGGGATGGCGAGGTCTAATCTGAATCTGAGTGGTGCCTCACTCCGCTGTCCTCCCCAGCAGCCCTCGAAAGTGGCGACGGCTTCGCAGATCGCAGCCCCCCAGGGATGGCGACGTCTGATCTGAATCTGCGTAGGACGTCACTCGCTGGACCCCCTAACTGCCTTCGAAAGTGGCGACAATCTTGCAGATCGCAGCCCCCTAGCGATGGCGGGGTCTACTCTGAGTCTGAGTGGGGTCATATTCCGCTGGACCCCCCAACAGCCCTCGAAAGCAATGGAAATGTCGCAGATCGCAGCCCCCCAGGGATGGCGAGGTCTAGTCTGAGTCTGGCTGGGACCCCACTCCGCTTGCCCCCTCAGCAGCCCCCCAAAGTGGGGATAGCGTAGCAAATCGCCGCCCCCCAGGGATGGCGAGGTCTGATCTGAATCTGGGTGGTGCCTCACTCCGCTGGCCCCCCCCCCCAGCAGCCTTCGAAAGCGGCGACAGCTTCGCAGTTCGCAGACCCCCAGGGATGGCGAGGTCTGATCTGAACGGCGGTCACCCACTATGCTGCCCCCCCCCCGCAGCCCTCGAAAGTGGCGACAGCTTCGCAGATCGCAGCCCCCCCCCCAGGGATGGCGAGATCGAATCCGAATCTGCGGCGGGCACCCGCTACGCTGCCCCCCCCCCGCAGCCTTCGAAAGTGGCGACAATTTCGCGGGCCGTAGCCCCCCAAGGGATGGCGAGGTCTAATCTGGAGCCCGCGGCGGGTACCCTCTACGCTGCCCCCCCCAGCAGCCCTCGAAAGTGGCGACAGCGTCGCAGATCGCAGCCTGTGAATCTCTGGCACAATTTTGTGTTTAGCTTTAGCTTTCAGTTTCCTTGACCCGGGCCCACGGCAGTGGGCCCTCTCTGGTACCTGCATTTTTTCCTGAATTTTAATAACAGTCAACGACTGTCTGGAGTGGCAGGCGTCAGCCTCCCGCTCAGTTGGACGGCACGCGGGCGTCGCCGCCGTCCTTCTCGCAGTCCACGGGGTAGCCGTGGCCGTCGGACTGGTGCCTCCTTGCAGTAGCTGTCGCTCAAGATCCGTTCGACCACTACATTCTTGGCACAACTCTTTTGCAAGAATGTGAGACGAGCTCCTTGTCGTAGGCGGTGTCCGTGCGCTTGACCTGGTGTTTTGCCTCCTTCTTGCGTATTTTCGTAGTGCTTGGTGTAATACTTCTGACCTCGGACTTCGTGACTTTACCTTCGTTTCTCTATTCCAACTCGCACCTGTTTCTGGTGTCCACTCCATCTTGCGTCTTAGCGACTCTAGTGCGTACCGTGATGCTTGTCTTGCTGGCCATCCTTCACATACCCTCTGCATCTTGCGGCTCAGGTGCTTTTCCGCTGTGGCTCCGCATGCCCAGCAGAAGTAGCGCTCTTTGTGCCTTGACCAGATGGCGTGTGTGCGGTGGAATATCTTTCCTTTGAGGGCCACGCCGCCATGAGCTCCTTCCTGCCGTTCATCTTGCTCTCGAGCTGCGCCTCTGTACCTCTGGGGCCACCATCTCGCTGCCTGTGAACTCTGCGTGCTGCCAGTGGACTTGCATCGTTCACATCTCCACATGCGTCCGTCAGGTCGATGGCGCGTGTTCTCGAAGAGGTGCTGGTAGCTCTCCTTCACGTCTTTTCCCTTCTTCCTTTTGGCCTCTGCTTCCGCCTTTTCATCCCACGTCATCGGCTTCACCTGCGAGAACTCCTCCATACACGTCTGGCCGATTCGCGTGCGGACTAAGTGCGATGTAGCCCTGGCCCAGTCATAGCAGCCCATTTGCGCCTCTGGGATGGCATGTGGTGCCGCCGCTGTCTCTGCCAACTCTTCGGCTCTGGGATTGCCTTTCCGTGCCTCCTCAGGAACTCTTCGTTCACGCGCCTGCTCGATCGTCATGTGGCTCTCGGCGTGCTTCACCCTGATGAGCTCTTCTCCTCCTCGGGCCTCGGGTCGCTGTCTGATCTTCCACAGGTCTCCATGTGCTTTCTTGTATCCTTTCTGTAGGATCCTTTTGCCGTACCAGCCATTGCCTAAGCTCTCTGGGTTGGTGTCGAAAGTGTGTTCGCCGTCCGTTGATTGCCCTCGTCGAACTCTTCCAAGTATCATCTCTGGGTGGGCTCTTCCCTTGCCTTGCTCCTGAGCATGCTGATCACCTCCACTGCGTGTACGTGCGTCTTCTCGTGGTTCCACATTTCCTCGAAGTCCTCCAACTTCGGGTCTACGCTCTTCTTGGGGTTCGTAGTTCGTTTTCCTGTTGGTGTAGTTGACCCGCCTTGCTTCTGACTCTTTGATTTCTTTTCCTTCGAACTGTAATCCCTCGCCTCTTCCTTTGTACCTCTTCTGGTCCTTCGCGTCGATGTCGTAGCCGTCGCAGTCGCAGCTCTCCATGATGGTGACGGGGTGGTACTGCCTCCCCAACGAGTTCGCCTGCCTCTCTGTCGCCTGGAACGCAGCCGAGAGGCTGATGTGCTCTGGCGCTGCCGCCTTGTCGGAGTCTTGCCGCATTTCGTAGTACTTGTCCCACAATCTGTGCATCGTGATGGCGTCGATCTCCTTCGTCTGCTTCGTGTTGACTGCGACCTCCTCCACCGAGTGTGCAATGTCCCACTCCTCGGGGCCTTCCTCGATGAGGTCCACCTCGGGGTTGTCCATGTTCGTTCTGGCTCTTGTTGTACCTCCGCATCTGCTGGCCTCTGTCACAGGCCTCTGCTCTGGGTCTTCTGGTTCAGGTAGCTCCTCTGTGTCCTGGCCTCTGTTACAGGCCTCGTTTATCTTCTCTGCCTGGTGACCTATGTCACAAGTCTCATTAGCCCCTGTTACGGGCTTTCCAATATGCGTTGCGCCCCATTCCTTGAGATGAATGTCAGGGAGGTCTTCATCTGGTTGAAACGTGAATGACGTCCATCCGTTTTCTGGCGTGGTGTAGGTGCACGCGTCGCCCAGGTAGCCGCAGGAGCCCTCCGCCGCGAACTTGGCCGGGCTGACGTTGAAGTTCCCTGCGATACTCCATGGCGTGCTCAGCGCCCTGGCGAACCTCGCCTCTTCTGCCGATCGCGTCGCATTGGCGCCCTCCTTCGACGGGTGGTCGCACCTCAGGTACTGGGAATTGACTACGAGGCCGTAGCCCTTGAGGTGCCACGACATCTCGGTCCAGTCTTCCATCTGAAGTAGACCCAGATCTTTTCCTGCAGCCTGTTCTTGAATTCCACGGTTTCCAGCAGTAGCCCCCGAAATACTGCCATACGCCGCAAACCCCCGAAAGAACGAACCTTTGAAGTGCGACCCCATGGCGATCATAACGCCTCCTCTCGAGCCCCCCGCGGACTTGGTGGAGGGTTGGGATGCCGCAAAGCACGCCTTCGGTCCCCACTTGTTCAGGAGTGCCTCTTTCTCCTCCAACTGGTGGTGGCGGAGGTGAGTCTCCTGAATCAGGTACGTGTTAAACCCCTGCCCACTGTTCCTGTTGCCGTCGATCCTCAGGTGCTGGTCCCGAAGCGACGGCACCACAGTAGGGCCCCACGTCGTGATGTTGCCGACGTAATTTTTCCTGACGCCCTTGTCGGTCTTGGTAGGGCGGGCGCCAGGTCGCGCTAGTCATTCTGGCCGAGCGGCAGGCCCGCTGGCTTCAGCGAGCTTGTTCCTGGCCTTGGCTAGCACCTCTTCCTCCAGGTCAGCATCTTCGCCTTCTTCTTCTTCAACCGCCATCTCTGCTGCCTCCTTGGGTGCCGCTGTCGCCGTGGCTGGGGAACTCGCTGCCGCCGCCATTGAAGCCGCTTCGTCCTGTCGCCGCGCCTCGACCTTCCTCTTCTTCGCGTCCTGCTCGATGGTCACCTTGTTGCGTGCTGCCGCCTCCTTTGCCTTCCTGATGTGCTC